ATATCACCTAATATTCTACGTTTGCTTTTGTTGTTGCAAGAATGTTTGGAGCAGCGTATGAATGTGTGTTTTATTGCTCATATCCGTAGTCATAGTAATTTACCTGGAATTTTATCACAAGGCAATGCCAAAGCTGACAGTGCTGTAACTTCAGTTCTCACTGTTCAGCCATGGGACAGCCATAATTATTTTCATCAAAATGCTAAAGCGTTGGCACATCAATTCAAGCTTACTGCTGCAGAAGCTGCTGCCATAATTCAACAATGTCCAACTTGTTCAAAGCAAGGCACGGCTATTCCTATGGGAGTCAACCCCAGGGGGTTGAAACCTTCAATGATTTGGCAAATGGATGTTACTCAGTATCCATCATTTGCACCTTGGAAGTATATACATGTGACTGTGGATACTTATTCAGGATTTCTAATGGCTACTCCTCAAAGAGGTGAAGCGGTTAAACATGTCATCAATCATTGCATTAAGACATTTTCAGTCGCTGGTACGCCTCAAACTTTAAAAACAGACAATGGTGCGGCTTATCGGAGCACAGTCTTTGATCAGTTTTGCAAACAGTGGTCCGTGGAACATAAATTTGGAATTCCATACAATTCCACAGGACAAGCTATTGTGGAGCGTTATAATGGCACGCTCAAGAACATGTTAGCTAAATTAAATAAAAAAGGAGGGAAGCTCCTGGGGCTTCCGGCAATTCAAGATCATTTAAATCTTGCTTTGTATACTTTAAATTTTTTAAATTTGTCTGGTAACCCCCCTGCGAGCGCGGCCAGCAGGCATTTTTCTTCCCCTTCTACAGATGCAGTGAGGCCTCGAGTGTTGGTGCGATTTCTTCCGGATCCGGCATGGGTTCCCGCTGAGCTGATTACGTGGGGACGTGGTTATGCAGCAGTAGAACATCTTGGTCAAATTCGTTGGGTTCCTGGTCGATGTATCCGGCCTGATCATTCACAAGCGCCTTCGCAGGTGCCACTGAAGGAGGTTCCTGATTCTCAGGATTCCGTTCCTGTGGTTCCTGATTCCGTTCCTGAGGTTCCTGATTCTCAGGATGGCGTTTCCGTGGTTCCTGATTCTCTTGATGCCGGCAGTCCAGGCGTGGCGCTGTGAAAGCTGGGAAAAGATGACTGCTTATCCGAGGTTATCAACTTGTATGCAGCAGGTTCCTTTGGGGAATCGGACTAAATTAATCTGCAAACAGCGGCATCTTTTGATTTTTCCAGCATATTGGTCCTGGCATAAGGGTCAAGACATTCTTTACTCGGGACCTGATAAGGATATTATATCTTCAGCCTGTGCTACAACTCTGATCTTGTTTAATGTTTCTGTTTCAGACTATGGACAATATTGGTGTCAATTGGAGTTGCCTAAGTTACTTTACACAACTTCTTTTTCCATTCGTCTTATGCCTCCACGGACTCTAATACGGAGGCGGAGAGCTGCCATTATCTCAGAAACTAGAGACCTTGGTGATAATTTATGGAAAGAAAATTCCTACATCAAGGACGTTCGGATTGCAGCAAAGAGTTTAAATGTAACTAATTGTTAGCCTTGTATGCATGTACCCACCTTTTGGAATAGCTATGAACTATAGAGATATTCATATTTTAAATAATTTTACTGTTGCTATGTTTTATGATACTGTTGAGAATATTAAGATGTTAAATGAAGAAGTGTCTGAAATTCGCCAAGTTACTTTATGCTTTAGATATAATGTTAGGAGTTTGTGCTTTAATTCATTTACATTGTTGTGTTTTTTATACATAATTATGAGCCTAACATTACAAGAACTGTTCATGATATGGAAGACCGCATAGCTGAACACGAAGCAGGGAAAGATGGCTTCAATAAGTCACTTTGGGCTTTGCTATGGGATTGGCTTCCTGACAGCTCATGGTTACGTTTATTGCTTCAATTAGTTGTAATAATTGTTATTACACTTATTATGTTATGTTGCTGTATTCAATGTATTCCTAATCTATTTCAAATGTGTGCCTCAGCCTTAAGTGTACGAAACCAAGTTTGCGAGGGAACTGTGTATTTTGCCACTGAAACACCCCCTATCTTTGAATAAATAAAAAAGGAGGGAATGTGGTAATATATCCATCATATTCTGCAAGTTCTTGTACAGCTTTGTAAGATCTGGGGGTATCACAAACGCTCCTCATGAGGGCAGTAGTGTCTTTATGATGAGAGTTTGATCCTGTTATCTGCAAAGCTCAGAGGACAGGAATGTGTGTGGGAGTTCACAGTACCTATCCGAGCCATGGGACCTTTGGTGCCCTGCTTTCTCACGGGAAATTTATCACCTTCGCCAAGGCCTAGCTAGATAATGTTGCTGAGCTAATGTTGAAGTCATTGTTTTGATTTTGTATTTGTATTTTCTTAATAAATACTGCTACCCGGGGGCTCTCGGGGCTGGCAGTTGCTCAGACGTCTTCCCTGCGTCTCCCGTCATTTTTTCAATTGCCAGTCCATCACAGAACTGCCAAATTGCAGGCAGCCAGCAGTCAGCAGAAGTAGCCTGCAGTTCTGCACTCTAACCACTGCGCCACCGTAGCTCATAATATAATATATCGATTATCTTCCTCCTTAGAAAAACACTGCAATCAAGTTCTGAAATTGGTAATTCTGTGTTGTGTAGAGTCCTGCCCAGAAACAGTATACTGGAGAACTTTCCAGAAACTTCGAACTATTGTTGCTGATGCTTCACAATGAAAAGAAAAAAAATTGCTTCAACTTTATTTCCCTTGTGATGTTTATGTGGGCACGACCAATTTTTATTTGGCAATAAAGTAGTTTTTCATTGCCTTGTCTAGCTTTAAAAAATAACTTTTATTTTTCAGAGCCTCCTATCTAAGGGCCAAACAGACCTTCAACTTTTCTGTTTTATTAAAAGATTCTCACCAGATTCTTCGTTATGTTCTGCGAAAGATTAATCCCTCTGGTGAAAACCCAATTCATATACAGTGACCGTACGTTCTTTATTGTAAGGACAGAGCTTTATTTCAGAAAGTTGTCTTTTAGATGGACTTGTTTTCTACAAAATCACTTTTGTCCTTTCTTTTTAGTCACTTATTGTTTCCTGTACAAATGGTTCTACAGTATACAGTTTTTCACATTCCTATGAAAAATATGGACACTGAATTGCCTTTTTCATACATTTATATATAGGGCTCAATTTTATATACCTTTATTACAATATGCATTTTTACAAGTTTTTTTTCCCTTGGTTTTGCTCTTGAATTTTCTTTTGTAAAGCAAAGTTATAAACACAAAGAATTAAAATATTTTACCTTTATGAATCTCTTTCATATTTGCCTCTTTTTCTGGTTTGTCCTTTTTTCAAGAAAATATGGTCACCGCAACGATAAATTGACTGTATAACCCTTCCTTCCTTCCTCCCTCCCTCCTTTTTTAGGCTAATTGAAAAAGTGAGATTAAGAAGAGAACTGGTCTCTAAAATAATCTCTCTAAATATAGTATCAGCACTGTACAACTAATTTACGGAACAAGAATGTATTGAGAATATTGTGTTTTTTCACATGATCAGGAAATACTTGTTTAAATGCAACCATTGCTTTGGAAGCAAAACTATCTGCTTTGCAACACTAGCATAAGTTCTTTCATACTGAGCCATTCATCACAACACTAATATTGTCCACATTTCTGCTGAAAAAGAAAATATCCTAACATGGAATATATAGATTTAAAAAATTACAATCAAAGCTAAAACTTATTGAATATTTTATAACATTAACTTCAGGTAAATGTTGCAAAAATAAAGTGAAAGAATTAGATGAATTTATGCACAAGAATGGCCTGATCTTTGTGAACTGGGCAAAATGGTTTTGGTTCAGCATACAATGTGAGTCAATCCTTCTAAGTTATAAACCAAGTCTAAGGTTTGGTGAGTTTGGAAATCTATGGTCACTATTTAGTCAATAAACGTTGGCTTAACCATGTCTTAGCAAACCAGTGTCCTTCCAATGTGATGTCCTCCAACTTGGCTAGGAATTACAGATCCAAACCTTGGAAAGCAAACAGGTTAATAAACCTAGTGTAGCCATTGTTTTAAATTAATCTCTAGCTCAGGGGTGTCAAACTCTACCATATCCATCCATCCATCATCTACCTACCTGATTTGGAAACCTCATGGCAGCTGTTAATAGCAATAGCTATAGCACTTAGACTTATATACCGCTTTATAGTGTTTTACAGCCCTCTCTAATCGGTTTAGAGAGTCATCCTACTGCCCCCAACAATCTGGGTCCCCACCTCAGAAGGATGGAAGGCTGAGTCAACCTTGAGCCTGGTGAGATTCGATCTGCCAAATTGCAGAGGCAGCTGGCTGCAGCAGAAGTAGCTTGCAGTACTGCACTCTAACCGCTGCGCCACCGAGGCTCAGTTAAGTTAGTAATATGGTTAAGTGAATCTGGCTTCCTCATTGACTTTGCTTGTCAGAAGGTCTCAAAGGCTGATCACATGACCCTGGAACTCTGCAACCATCATAAAAATGAGTCAGTTGCCAAGCATCTGAATTTTGATTGCAGCATCCACATAGTCATGTAATGTCCATATGTATGAAAAATGGATGTCATTTTTTGCAGTGCCACTGTAACTTGGTCACTAAACGAACTGCTGTTAAGGACTGCCTGTAAAGACTACCTGTCTCTATTCACTTTACAGAGGATTTGTTATTTTTCTTTTATCTTGGGATCACAGACTGTTCTGACCCACACCCTTTTCCAATAAATCAAACACAATCCAAAGGGAACAGAAACCTTGTAATGCTTCTGCAAAATAATTAGCGGTGATAAGCATAAGCCTTGCCAAACTCTGCAAGACTTGCCCAAAGATAACAGACAAGAAATAATTTGCAATACAAGAATCTTCAAACACAAACTCAGGATACTGGAATGTCCACAAGGCTGGAGTTTCAAAACGTCTTTGCCTTCTGCAAAGAATGTTCGTTTCACAGCTGGCTTTTATCTTCTTGAAGGAGGGGCCATTACCTTGCAGCCTTACTCTCGAGTTGCCCATGATGCTGCTGCTGCTCTTTCCTAGGAGCAATCCTGCGCACATGTGCACTTGGCACAAGCTCCTCGGGAACCTCTTCACTGCTGCCAGCCCCCACAATCTCTGAAGGCAGCAGTCCACTCCCTAATGGTCTTGACTCCTCATCTGAGTCCTCGCTCTCCTCAGCCGTCCGCACCTGCTACTGGCTAACCACAACACAGACCTATGTTTGTCTGCTATTTATGTTGATAGGCCACAGTTCCATAATTTTTTAAAAATGTATATTTCTAATCCAACTCAAATTTCTGTGCTTAAAAACAAAACCGCCACCAACTAGAGAAACTGCAACCAGAATGACCATACAGCAGAATAAAAATACATTCATGTTTCCAAAACCAATAGCGTTGTATCAGGAATTGAGACACAAATGCTAGCCCCAAAACCAGTTTTCCTACCTCCTGCTGCAGGTAATCTACACTATGAGAGTTTTCTGATTTTCCGTCGTAGGCTGCAAATGCTTTCGACATAGAGTCATGGAACTCAGCTATTATCTGTGAAAAGAAAAGAAAGGCAGAGGTGGTCATTACATCTCATCTTTCATCCATCTGAAATGCAATGGAAAGCTTTAAGCCTTAAAAAGGCAAGATTTGTATCTCAAATAAGAGCACCTCTAAACAATGAGGTTTTGCTGTCCTTGTCTGCAGGTGCTAATAAAAAGGGTTTAAGCACTGGTGATTCAATTTAAAAAGGCAACACTTGATCATTTGAAAAGTTGTGCTGTTATACTTAGCGACTGTTTGAACAATCATTAAACGAATGGTTGTTAAGTTGAGGACGGCTGGTGTTGTTTTATTACCTGAATGGTATTTAGATATTTTCACTCACCTTTCCTTTGTAAACAAATCCAAGCACAAAGGTTGCCATTTCTGCAGTGAAGATCAGCAGGATAATGACCAAGAACTAAAGAAAGAAAAGAAGAAGACTTAAGAAGCAGTGAAACATGTGATCTTCTCCAGATGTTGCCAACAAATCAATTTCTGGAATGTTTGTTCTGTGGAAAGATCCACCCTCTTACAAGATGTGTGGAATTCTAGGAGTTAAAGTCTACATGTTTGCAAGTTGCCAAGGTTGGTAAACACTACTGTAGGCAAAAGGGTTTTTTAGAGATCTATTGGCATGATGGAATCAACCCTCAAGCTAGTTGAAAAGCTTCAGAGATTTCTGGATTATTTGAATCTCATCATTTACTAAAAAATATCCCTTCCTACTAGGCAACCGTTAAGAGTCCAGAAATGGAGGGACTGGGAATGGGATAATCTCATTGTCCACTTCCAGCACCACCTCCATTTTTTTTTTTTAGTCTTTTAGTGACCCCGTAATCCAGGGGTCTTCAAATTTGACAGCTTTAAGACTTGTGGACTTCAACTCCCAGAATTCCCCCCTCCAGTCATGTTACCACAGGAATTCTGGGAGTTGAAGTCCACAAGTCTTAAACTTGCCAAGTTTGAAGACCCTTGCCATAATCTCTTGCACTGGAGTGGAGTCAGGAGTCAACTGAATGGAGCTGAGTGTTTACTGGCCGGGTGCCCCTCCTGTTGCCAATGCAGAGTTCACAGCAGATATTTATTCATTGTGCCCAGAGAGAAGAATATCTGCCGCTATCTAGGATTGAACTCACAGTCTCCTGATTGTGAGGTGAGAGCTCCACCTCTAGGCCACTGCACCGCTCTCAAGCATCATCTCTGTGCAACACTATTGTTATAAATGGGACCACCAGCTGCCAGGTCCTATTCTTACCACTCCAAGGCCAATCTTGGATTCACGAAGGGTGGCACAGCAGCCAACTATGCCAATGACCAGCATGACCACAGCAACAGCAATGATGATGATGGGAGGTAAGAGAGCATCTCGGTTCTGAAGAAAAGGGTCATATTCCTTGTAAGCGTTGAGGACGTGCGCGCCAACATAGAGGAGTCCAGCTGCTGCACCCTTTAAAAGATAAGGAGATGGTTTCAAAGTGTAATCCAAACAATCAGCTTAAGTTAGGAGATCTTCTATCACCTCACCTCCTCTATAAACCCAATGGACTCCTTCCAACAGTGTCTAATAGAAGATTCACCCCAGATTCCATGTCACTGTCAGCCACCCATTTTCAAGCAAAATCTAATTTATACTTATACTTTTATACTTTCATATTGTATTACTGTGTGGTTTGGTGGTATTGCTGTTTCGGATAGGAAGGTTGTGCAGAGAGTGGTAAGGACAGCAGAAAAAGATTATTGGTTGTTCACTTCCTTCTATCCAGGACACAGCATATAAACGATGCATGAACAGGGTCCTCAATATTGTCTGGGACAGTACGCATCCTCTCCATGACTGGTTTTCTTTGTTACCTTCTAGGAGGAGATGAAGAAGAACTACTACATTCTGTAACAGCTTTACACCACTCAATACGGTATTGAGTCAACCTTGTTAACTCCCAAGATCCTTTTCTCTGCTAGGTATTCTAAACGGTATGTGATGTGAGTGTGTGTGTGTGTGTGTTTGTGTGTTTGTAGGAATGATTGAGTCTGTCATCAGCACCTCTATATCTGTCTGGTTTGGTTCTGCAACCCAACAAGACAGACACAGACTTCGGAGAGTAATTAGGACTGCAGAAAAAACAATTACTACCAATCTCCCTTCAATTGAAGACCTGTATACTGCAGGAGTCAAAAAGTGGGCTGTGAAAATACTTACAGATCCCTCACATCCTGGACATAAACTGTTTCAATTCCTTCCCTCAAAACGACGCTATAGAGCACTGCACACCAGAACAACTAGACACAAGGACTGTTTTTTCCCAAACACCATCACTCTGCGAAACAAATAATTCCCTCAACACTGTCCAACTATTTACAAAATCTGCACTACTATTACTATTAATCTTCTCCTCACTCCTTATCACCCATCCCCTCCCACTTGTGACTGTATGACTGTAACGTTGTTGCTTGCATCCTTACGATTTATATTGACTGTTTCCTAGTATAATTTGATTGCTTATTGTACCCTATGACTATCATTAAGTGTCATACCTTATGATTCTTGACTCTTGACAAATGTATCTTTTCTTTTATGTACACTGAGAGCATTTGCACCAAGAAAATTCCTTGTGTGTCCAATCACACTTGGCCAATAAAGAATTCTATTCTATTCTATTCTATTCTATTCTATTCTATTCTATTCTATTCTATTCTATTATTCTATTCTACTCCACTCTACTCTACTCTACGCTACTCTACTCTACTCTGTGTTTGTGTGTGTGCATCATAATTCATTTTTGTTTACCTTCTTATAAAGAAGATTCTCAGTCATCTGGGTAGAGTTATCTGGAAGTTGAGTCATGGCAAGTGACTTCTTGAAGTCCAGTTGCCACGATTCAACTTCCACAGCTTGATACGAACTGAGCACGAGGTGTGGGGTTCTGAAACATTAGCCTCAGATGTCCCCACTTCTCTTGCCAAGAAAGCCAATGCTGCCAATGAGCCACACAGAGCCACACCTGTGTGGCAAAGTGGTCAGATGCCTGAAGAATGATGAGACAGGAGAAAAAGGCTTATTCAATAGGCATTTGAGCAAGGAGGTTGAGCGATTGAGCGGTCTGCCCTTACCTGCTTCTTCCTAGGCTAAGGTAAAGTTACTGGAGCATGGTTACCCAGCTGGTTTTGTGCTCGAAATGGGACTAGAATTCCCAGTCACCCAGTTTCTACCTTAACCCTAACAAACTGGCACTCATAACTTGAAATTCTGCACTTACACTGAATTTAAATCTATAATCCCTTTGTACCAGAGGTGGTATTCAGCAGGTTCTGACCAGTTCTGGGGAACCGGTAGCAGAAAATGTGAGTAGTTCGGAGAACCGGCAAATACCTCCTCTGACTGGCCCCACCAACCCCATCTCTTCTCTGCCTCCCGAGTCCCAGCTGATCGGCTGGGTCTTCTTTGGTTGCCTTGCACAGGAGAATGGAACTAGAAAGCAGGTTAGTGGGAATGGGATTTTGCAGTAACCTTTCCCTGCAGTGTGGAGGGAACGGGAATTTTGCAGTATCCTTCTCCTGCCATGCCCACCAAGCCACGGCCACAGAACCAGTAGTAAAAAATTTTGAATACCACCACTGCTTTGTAGTCACTCACGAGCAGTTCTAGGTACCAAGGGATGGGCAACTTATCGCCTCTTTACGACTTAAGGAATTCAACACCCAGAATTCCTGAGCCAGCATAGAATTCTGGGAATTGATGTCCACAGATCCTAAAGAGGTCAAAGATGCCCAGCCCTGATCTACCACATACATTCTGGTAACCAGTTCTGAAAACTGGCAAAGCACAGTGGAATATAAATAAAAATATAAAAAGAAAGCCGGTAAGATGTCCAAATTGAAGTAGTGGAAAAAGGATGGGGGAAGAGCTTGTTTTTCAAGTCTACTCACAGCTATGGAAACTTACTAGTTGACTACAAGTTGGTTGTTGAGGAGAAAAACTGGTGAAGAGAACTGGTTATGCTTGTGCCGGAATGTTTTTAAGGAAAGGCATGTTTTCATCTAATGAGTGAAGGAATGCATGGATGAACAACAGATAAAACACTTGACTCTTAATCACATACAAAATCAAAACTGAAAAGACCATTATGCCACATGAGACAAACTCATGTGATGTAAATCATAATTTGTCATCCCCTTAAAAACTGAACATTTTCCTCCTCTGCCTAGTTATCTTCAAAACTCTACGGGCGGGGGGGGGGGGTGTTGGACTAGAAGACCTGTAAGTTCCCCTCCAACTCTGTTATCCTGTTATGTACATTAGCTTTATTGAACTCAAGGAGAACTCAATTGAACTCAATGTCTATTTGGCATAGGTAAAGGTAAAGGTTCCCCTCGCACAGATGTGCTAGTAGTTTCCGGCTCTAGGAGGCGGTGCAAATCTCTGTTACAAAGCTGAAGAGCCAGTGCTGTCCAAAGACGTCTCCGTGGTCATGTGGCCGGCATGACTAAATGCCAAAGGCTCACGGAAGGCTGTTACCTCCCCACTGAAGTGGTCCTTATTTTTCTACTTGCATTTTTACATGCTTTCGAACTGCTAGGTTGGCAGAAGCTGGGACAAGTAACGGGAGCTCACTCCGTTATGTGGTGCTAGGGATTCGAACCACCGAACTCCCGACCTATCTGATCGATAAGCTCAGCCACTTCGCCACTGTGTCCCTTCTATTTGGCATACTAAAGGTCAAATTATACCATTGGTTCTTCTATTTTAGCTACTTATGGCCATAATTGGGATCAGAATTTATGTTGCTAAGGAAGGCGATTGTTCGGTGACTGGTGCCCAATTTTACAACCTGGCTTATCATTATTAGGAGAGTCCCTACAGTTGTTAAGTGAGTCATGCGATGATCATTAAGTGAATCCAGCTCCCCCTCTAATTGACTGATTGTTGGAAGCTGGCTGGGAAAGTCACAGCGGCAATCACATGACCCCAAATGATCATAAACACATGATAAGCACATGCCTGTTGCCAAGTCCCACTGGGTAGTGCCTCCCAACTTACACAAGGATGGGAGTAGGGGTGTGTGTGTGTGTGTGTGTGTGTGTGTAAGAGAGAGAGAGAGAGAGAGAGAGAGAGAGAGAACTACGACCAGTAAAGTTTGTTACTTTAAATTCTCTGAGTCTCCATGAACTCCAAAGGAACCCTGTTTGTGCCTGTGTGTTCGGTTCAAAGTGATTTGAGTGTGGCTGTTAACCAGAGCTATGAGTGACCACAAGCCAAATCAGGGAAGAGTGTACTGTAAATAGCTCAAAGATGTCACCTAATGACTGAGCTGACTTACAGGTAGTCCTCGACTTACAACAATTCATTCAGTCACCATTTAAGGTTACAACGGTACTTAGACAAAAGTGACACAGCCATTTTTCACACTTATAACAGTTGCAAGTATCCCGGTGGTCACGTGATCGAAATTCAGACGCTTGGCAACTGGCTCTTATTTATGACCGCTGAAGTGCCCTGCGGTCATGCAATCCCCTTTTGCGACCATCTGACAAGCAAAGTTAGTGGGGAAGCCAGATTCACTTTACAACTGTGTGATTAACTTAACAATCGTGGCAAGATCGATCATAAAATGGGGCAAAATTCAATTAACAGGTGTCTCGCTTAGCATCAAAAAATCTGGGGCGCAATGGCGTTGGTAAGTGGAGGCGTACCTGTGTTTCGTCCTCATAGCTTATCTATCTATCTATCTATCTATCTATCTATCTATCTATCTATCTATCTATCTATCAAAGCCAAATACCAATCACTCATCACAAAATCTCTAGAATGTAAAGCCTACAAATTTGAAATTTGGCACGTATGTTCCTCTTGGCTTCTAGGTGCTCACTAAGAAAGGATTTTTCAAAATGACCAACAGAGCATTAATATTTCGTTATATTATTATTAACACACTCTGATGCTAAGGAGTTCTACTCCCGCTCCCCATCTGAAAAAAATTCTGTTCCAACTTCCAGTTGCCTCACATTCCGTTACCTCAGTTAAAAATTGGCAGACGTTCCACTCCCTCACTCAGGAGCAGTTTGGGGCTTCTTACAGTACTAAATGTTGGTACCTCACCAAAATGTGTACGTCTTCTACCTACGGAACTGCTTCTGGACTCAAGGCGGCGGGAGCGATATTCCCTTATGTGTATCAATCGCCAACCACTACTGAGCCAACAGATTGTGAACTGAATTTTTCCATAGAGCTGTCTCGAGTGTCCAGGTTGGGAGGAGCTCCAGTCTCGGCTCTTCCAGGCTGAGCTTGAAATTGAGGAACGCCCCCTCACCGTCACGTGGTCCTCGGGCGCTCCCCAGTTTTTTGCTCAGCCTCGTGGCTAACAGGCTGTTTTTCCCTTGCTCCGGTCGTTCAGCATTCTAGGCCTCTTCTCTCATCGCTTTTCACGTGGATCACCGGCAGGCAGCGCAGGA